GTGTATGGCTGAGCCCTTTCGCTGTTCACCTGAAACTCACAGCACGGTCAGTTGGCTGTCCTCCAAAATACGAAATAAAATGTTTAGAGAAAAAGAAGAGCCTGTGCTGGCTTGCTGGTCTGCTCTCACTGTCTTGAAATCCTTAATCATTTTTGAATAAGTTGCTCTGCACTTCTGTTTTGCCCTGGGTTCTATGGCCAGTTCTGCCTAGGGCATGGTCTGGGACCCCAGTGCCACAGGTATGGCCACTTGGAAGGAAGCCGTTGTCCTACTCGGTATAAGCCTGAGTGCTGCCCGCTGCCTGGCCTGTCCTGCTGCAGAGAGGATGACGTGGGCTGACTTTTCCTTAGAGACCATGTTTTCTATCCTAGTTGACTCTAAGTGTTTCTGCTTTGGCAGCAGACACAACTCGTCAGGCTTTTTAATCCAAGTTTCTCTGTAGCTGACATCAATCAGTGAAATACTCAGTGTGGAGACATGCTAGTTGCTTCGTAGATGCCTTGAAAAGCCATTCGACCTAAAAAATTATTTGTAATTGTGCTATATAATCAGTGTTCCCTGACGCATAGGAAATTCATTATAGATGCATGTTTGTGATGTCATTATTCTGCATAACTACTCAGATTCATGGTTTCCAAATGTTGGCTGTAGATTCACTTGATTCCTTCTGCAGGTGGGATCTTTTACAAAAGGCAAGAACATAGCTGTTTTGGCTGCTCAGTTCCCCGGAGTTCTCTTAAGGAAGGGACTCCTGAGCAGGTGCAGCAGGACTCAGTCCCTGGGAATTAATCATGTAGAAAAAGGAAAATTAAGAGTCTTCATATCTTGACCCAGAGAACTGTGTCCAAAGCCACAGAAACCATCATCTGGAAAGAAATAGCATCACAAGTTGTCTTAAGAAAATCTGGTGTAAGTTTTCAAAACACCAGACCTAGAGGATATGACTATCTGTATTGAGACGAAATATATTTTATTTTATAAAATGGGTTTCTTTTACTGCCAGGTTCATTTTTAAATAATGAACTCTCTGCTTCAACTCACACATCCAGTGTATACAAATTTTACTGAATCTTCTGGTTTTGATCATTACTGTTACTATGTGAGGGTTTCCTAGGTGGCTCAGTGGTAAAAAATCTACTTGCCAGTGCAGGAGACACTGGAGATGCGGGTTCAATCCTTGGGTCAGGAGGATCCCCTAAGGGAGTAAATGGCAACTTACTCCAGTATTCTTGCCTGGATAATCCTATGGACAGAGGAACCTTGCAAGCTGCAGTCCATGTAGTCACAAAGAGCATGCACACACATTGCTGTCTACGATATCATTTTGGGGGTATGGGTGATGACTAGACAAAACCTCTCTGTTTCATTTTAATTTTACAACTTTTGTGCATATAATTATTTTGAAGTAGAAAATTAAAAATTATATGTGTGTGTGTGTGTGTGGTATGTGCTCAGTCGTGTCCGACTACTTGTGACCCCCGTAGACTGTAGCCCACCAGCCTCCTCTGTCTGTGGAATTTTCCAGGTAAGAATACTGATGTTAAAAAAAAAAAAAGAATACTGGAGTGGGTTGCCATTTCCTACTCCACAGGATCTTCCTGACCCAGGGATGGAACCTTTGTCTTCTGCACTCATATATATGTGTGTGTGTTATATATTTTATATAATGTTATATAATTTATTTACATTTTTCATTTTATTGCTTATTATATAATGTATATATAGTATATGGTATATTATAGCATATTCAGGAACACATATATGAGGTAAAAAAAATCATGTCTTCATTGCATGCTCAGTTGAGAGGCTAATGGATCTGTCTTTGCCTCTCCAGGTCATTTATCAAACAAAGCATTGAATGTAGAGACTGTCCTCACCAAACCCCATGGTAGCTGATAGCTCCAACCCTTTAATCCTTCACCAAAGTGCATCAGCAGCAGAAAATAGACTCATTTTAAAAATCAGCTTTTCTTGTCTCATGACCTAGAAAAAGGAACAATTCCAAAAGCAAGGAGCAAAAAGGAAAAAGAAAGGAATGAAGATCTAAACAGGAATTTTGTGATACCAGTCAGGTCCCAGTGGATCTGTCTTTTAAGTTTAATACCTAAACTGGATTGTTATGTTCTAGAAATTTTAAAAAATATATTAGTTTTTTGGCCACACTGTGCATCATACAGGATCTTCATTCTCCAGGCAGGGATAAAACCCTTGCCCCTAGCAGCAGAAGCATGGAGTCTTAAGTGCTGGACCACCAGGGAAGCCCCAGTGTTCTAATTTTAAACCTAGTTAAAATGTGTTTGTTTTCCCAATTTAATTTGCTTAAATCAGAAAGGTAAGAGCTGACTCATTGGAAAAAACCCTGATGCTGGGGAAGATTGAGGGCAGGAGGAGGAGGTTAGATGACATCATCAACTCAGTGGAGCTAAGTTTGAGCAACCTCTGGGAGATAGTGAAGGACAGGCAAGCCTAGTGCACTCAATCCATGGGGTCAGAAAGAGTCAGACATGACCAAGCAACCAAACAGTAACAAAATCAGAAAGGTGGACATAGTGACAAAAGTTAAAGGAAATTATTAAGGAATTGAATGGATCAGATGAGATGCTGAACACAGAAAAGGGATTGATTTATTCATTCACATATTCAAGAAAGATTCCTCAACTCCCATAGCCATTTGATGGAACGAATGTGAACAAACTCTGACCTTGTGGCGCTTACCTTCCGGAGGCAGGATGAAAAAACAGCAGCAAGTTGTAACGCTTCATGTCCTTGGGTAACAATAAACTCAGTGTGGAAAAATAAAGGCAGTGAAGGTCTGCAGTGGAGGCGTGGGAATCAGAGAAAGGAATGTTTAAGGTTTGGAGTGTTGTTGCTCTTGTACCAAGAGGGTGATGGAGTTAGTTCAGTTCAGATCAGTTGGTTCAGTTGCTCAGTCGTGTCCGACTCTTTGCGACCCCCATGGACAGCAGCACGCCAGGCCTCCCTATCCATCACCAACTCCCAGAGTCCACCCAAACCCATGTCCAGTGAGTCGGTGATGCTGTCCAACCATGTCATCCTCTGTCGTCCCCTTCTCCTCCTGCCCTCAATCTTTCCCAGCATCAGAGTTTTTTCCAATGAGTCAACTCTTCGCATCAGGTGGCCAAAGTACTGGAGTTTCAGCTTCAGCATCAGTCCTTCCAATGAACACCCAGGACTGATCTCCTTTAGGATGGACTGGTTGGATCTCCTTGCAGTCCAAGGGACTCTCAAGAGTCTTCTCCAACA